CATGTTCTCCCATAACAAGTGATTGTTTGTAGGAGGCCAGACATTGGTGCTGGAGCCGGATGTGTTACCCTGAATCTTCTGAGGGGTTTTTTTTTTTTTCCGATCAGATTTATTACAAATCCTGAACTATTTAATGTCTGGAGTCATGAGCCCCACCAGACTCCTGGCACCTCCTTGTAGGGTGGTATGTATCTAGACTTGCATTGTACAAACCTTTTTTTAAAAGCATGTGTTTAGGTTTCTGTGAAAACGTTGTTTAAATGTAAAGTACGTGTTTGGATTTTAACTTCATACCAAGCTCTGTCAGTTTTTTGTCTCAATAAAATTTTAGATTTATAATCCTGATTTTTTTCTTCTCTACCTTCCTCCTTCCTCCAGCTCTTTGTGCATGCGGTGAGGGACGAGGTGTAGAGCAGGTCGCGGAGGGAAGTTAGCCTGCGGTTGCGGTTCTCTCTGAGCGAGGTTAGCTCTGGGGCACCCAGCTGAGCCGCTGGCTCCCGTCTGGGTGTCGACAGCAGCCGGAGCTTTGGAGCAGCTGACAGCAGGTTCTGATTTGTGTTGACTTCCCTCTGGAGAAGAGAAGTGTCCTAGAGGTTAGTGTCTAGAGGCCTGAGTTGAGTCTCGCCCCCGGAGACAAGAGGACTCGCTGCGATTCGGGACCTCGTTTGATTTAGGAAGATGCTGCTTGAGCCAGGAGCCGGCATCGGAGGTGGGGTAAGTGACCTTGATTTCAATTCTCATCTCAACGTTGGACAGCCTTTGTCACTTTGCGTTTACGGCTGGGTTTTTAAAACTGTCAATGGTTGTGGTGACGGTTTGGCTGGAGGTGGAGATGGAGGTGGAGGTGGAGATGGCAGCGGAGGTGGAGGTGGAAGCAGAGATGGAGGTGGAGGTGGCCTCACTTGGGTCCTGGTGTTGTCTTGCTGAAGGCCACAAGCTCTTGTGCGTGGAGCAGAGCAGACCCATCCTCTGCTCAGCCCATCTGACGCTCCACGCAGCAGGACGGACGGCAGAGTGGGCTGAAGCATTCCTGGGAAGAGGATTGTGGTCCTGACTCGGAGGTTTCCCGTGTTTGCGGGGTGCAGGATGGTGCAGGGAGAGGCAGAGAGGTTTTGGGTGGTGGTCAGGGCTGAAGAGCGGCTCTGCTGGCCCCTCAGGGCTGCAAAGCTGTGCAGACAGCTGAAATCCAGGTTATTCGCAGCAGCCCAGCACAGCGGGACGGTGAAATGCCTGCCCTGCCCCAGCAGCAATTAAACCCGAAATAATCACCGGAGATGGAAGGGGTAACGTCCACTTAATTGAACGTAAGCAGGCTGCGGCTCCCTGGGGAGGCTCGGGGGTGATCGATCGCAGGAGGTAGCTGGAAGATGCGCGTTGCTCCGTGCCGGGGGTGGGATTGTGGCCGCGCCGAGTCCGCGGGGCTCCCCCCTGAGCCACAGGCAGGCACCGGTCTCTGGCTGTGGCACTGCGTAAGCGGGATGGGGTTACCTCTGGAGAAACTGAGGCTCAGGAAAATGCTCTTGTCACCCTCGTAACGCTCTTGGAGATCTGTGGGTGATGG